TTTTGTCAACAACGCGCGAGGGAAACGGAGACTCCTCCTTGGAGCAAGGATTTTCTCCCGGCACGGCTGTCCCCGCGAGATTCGAGAAATGCGGCGAATGCGCGCGGACGCGCCGCACACTCGGTACGTATCCACGCACGCATGCACGCACGCACGAGTGTGGGTTGGAGGACGCACGCGGAAATCCGGCGCGGATTCCGCCGGCGCGGCCGCTTGCGCGTCGCCCGCTCTGTAATGCGATTAATAGCGTTGCGTCACGCGCGGGATGAGACGTGTTTATTCTCGTCGCCGACTCACCTGTTCGTCCGCCATTTTTCGCCAGCCTCGTATTATCTACAGTAAAGCCAGGATCACATGCCAACCTCCGTCTGCGCCCGCCGCCGGCGCATGTTTACATCGACGTTCTACGTTGCACGCACCCTGCGCCTGCTGTGTGGGTGTGTGCAAATGCGCGCCATCTTTGTTTTACTGGACACACTTGAAAATATGCACATGAAAATGCGCCCTGCGGGTGGAGGATTTTTTTTTAATTTTTCAGTTTTTCGGCGACTTTGAAGAAATTTCAATTAATTTAGGGTCGTGACATACACAAGAAAAATTAAACATGTTCGCAATATGCAATATATTAGCCGATCACAATAGAGATCATAATTTAGTGGATTTAGCAAATCGAACATGTTGCGATTTCTTTACTGCTTTCTCTGTGCCACGATTCTTTTTTTTTCTGGATGCGTTCCGCGAAATGTACTGGTGATACTGAAAATCTATAGTTTACGTTACACACTATAGATTTTTAAGGTATTAATCCTTAACTGTAACTTTTTCTTTGGAGCAGAAATGTGAAAAGTGAAATTTTTTGTACTGTACATACACATACACACATCATAAAAAAAAATTTCACTTCTCACGTTTTTGTCTTGGAGAAAAAATTACACGATTGACTTTCAGTAGTATGGCAATATAGTATTGAATTTAGTACTATTGAAATATAGTACTATTGGAACATTTCAGTATACTTGAGCAGAGTTGATACATATTATTTTAACTTTCGTTGGTTAACGAGGATAAATTAAATGAAGAACATATTGCATTCCTATGTCCATTTCAATTAAAATACTCAGACGACAAATATTAAAAATTAGGACATAAAAGACATCTATTTTAGACATCCAAGACATCTAATTTATTTTCAATTAATTCTCGTTTATTGTAAAAATTTTACGAACTCTTAAAAACTGTTAAAAAATGTATATGTGGAATTTTGTAAATATTTTAAAAATATAATATATAAAAATTTAAAAATATTCAAATAAAAATTAAAAAATGTTATTTTCTAATTAAATTGTAACTTTTCATAATGCAATATCAATGATAAAACGCATTGTTTAAAATGTAAATGCAATAAATGTTCAATTTACACCCATTTATACACTATAAAAAATGTGGCTTTCGGACTACTTAATAACTAAACTTTTTTGGACAGCCGATACTTAAATCTTTTTTTTTTTATAGTTTGGAATATCAATTTTAAAATTGAAACATATTTTTCCTTTAAACATTTTTTTTCACA